GAACTGAGTAATGTACCCAGTACTGGGCTAGATATTGTACTGTCTGCTGCTTTTCAGCAGATTCAGAGTAAAGCCATTGATAAGACTAGTGACCAAGCCAGAACTTTCCATTAAAGGCAGTATGCTGGGCTTTTTCCACCTGCATAACCAGTGCTTGTCAGGCAACTTGTTGAATGTGCTACAAATCTGAACTGGAAGAAAGGGAAAAAGTAAACTAAAATAGGCAACTCTTGGGATGATGTAGTGACAATAATTTACCTAAAATAGCACCTACTGCAGTGCCAGTTACACTCACAGAATCACAGAATGTTGTGGGTTGGAAGGGACCTTAATGATCATCATGAAGGTCCTGGGTTGCCACCCACCAGATCAGGCTGCCCATGGCCTCTTCCAATCTGGCCTCCAATGTCTCCAGTGATAGGGCATCCACAGCTTCGCTAAGCAACCTGTTCCAGTTTCTCACCATCTTCTGAATTAAAAAATGTTCTTCTAATATCTTATCTAAATCTCCCCTCTTCTAGTTTAAGACCATTCTCTCTTGTCCAGTCACTATCTATCTGTGTAAAAAGTCAGTCCCCCTCCTACTTGTAAGCTCCCTTTAAGTACTGGAAGGCTGCAATGAGGTCTCCCTGAAGCCTTCTCTTCACCAAGCTAAAAAAGCCCAACTCCCTCAGTCTATCTTCATAGGAGATGCTCCAGTCCTCTGATCATCTTCGTGGCCCTACTCTGGACCCACTCCGATAACTCTACATCTCTCCTGAGGTGGAGATCCCAGGCTTGGATGCTGTACTCCAAATGGGGACTCATGAGGACAAAGTAGAGAGGGCAATCACTTCCCTCTTCCTGCTGGCCACCTCTCTTTTGATGCAGCCTAGGGTACAGTTGTCCTTCCAGGTCACACACACATACTCACATCATCCAGCTTTTCACTCACCAGGACCCTCCCGGTCCTTTTTTGCAGGGCTGCTCTCAATGTGTTCTTCCAGTCTGTACACATATCTAGGATTGCCCCAAGTCAAGTTCAACACTTTGCACTTATCTTTTTTGAACCTTATTAGGTTCATGTGGGTCCTCTTCTCAAGCTCCAGGCCCTTTTGAACAGCATCCCTTCCTTCTGTTCTATCAGCTGCACCACTCAGCTTAACAAATGGAATATGTTGTCGGGAAAGTAGAAATCTCCATCATCATCACTGTGAGCTTCAGTATTGTGTTCGGTTACAGAAAGCAATGTCTCTTAAAAACTTTACTAGCAGACCTGACAGAGTTGCTTCAGTTATTCTGCTTATGCTCTCAGCAGCCATGTAGGACAAATAATCTCCTCTTTCTCCTTCACCTCTCAAGCATTTTGCCTGATCACACTGTTCTCCATTTTCCTTGGTGACATGGATCACAGAGGACTCTGCACTAGAGGAGAGATCTGAGTGAGCACAGAGGAGTTGCTGGCAGGTCATGTTGCACTGCCTGGGATATTTTATTCTCTGCAGCTGAGGATGTGGTAACTTGCCTTGTCCCTCAAAACTCTGTTGCATGTTACTGTGCTCCCATCACCCCCAAGGATCACTGCACAGCCTTTTGCTGGGGAATGGCCCTGAATGCACTCTCCTAGTGTCTTCTTTGACCTCTGTGACGTCCTGTGTCAACTCTGTTGTGGGGCTTAGCCATAGGATCATATAAACTTGTGTCTTCATAACTCTGGTAAGAGGGAAGATAGAACCATTTAAGCATTAACTGTGATGTGATGGGCTTAAAGGCTAATTACAGAGAATCACATAATTGCGTGGGTTGGAAGGGACTTCTAGAGATCACTGAGTCCAACCCCCTGCTAAAGCAGATTCTTTACAGCAGGCCACACAGGAAAGAGACCAGAGGGTTCTTTAATACCTCCAAAAAATGAGACTCCACAGCCTCTCTGGGCAGCCTGTTCCAGTGCCCTGTTACCCTCACTTCTGCATATTTGTGTGGAACTTCCTATGTTCCAGTTTGTGATCACTGCTCCTTGTCCTGTCACTACACACTACTGAAAAAGAAGTCTGGCTTCATTCAATTGCCTCTTGCACTTTAGAATTTTATAAACATTGATCAGATCCCCTCTCAGTCTTCTCCAGGCTGAACAGACCCTGATTCCTCTGCCTTTCCTTCTTTGTTGGTCTCCATCCTGCCCTTTCTAGGTGATCTCTGTCTTGTTTGAACCGAGGAGCCCAGAACTGGACATAGTATTCCAGATGTGGTCTTACCAGGGCAAAGCATCCCACACTTTCTAAGCTTCATTACAGGGATGCTGTGGGAGATAGTGTCAAACGCCTTGTTGAAGTCAAGGTACACAACATACTGCTCTCCCCCATCTACCCAACCAGTGATGGCATGGTAGAAGGCTAACAGGTCGGTCAAGCACGATTTCCCCTTGGTGAATCCATGATTGTTTTTGGTTTAAACAGATTATCTTACGGACATTTTTTCTATGTATTCTTTGAGGGGAAAATGCTTTAAAATTTGAAAAATTAATTACGTTTAAAAGCACAGATTTAAATTTGGAGTGCTCCCCTTCCCTGGCCCAGCAAAATAGAGTTATCTGGATTTTTAAACTGGATGATGACTGGGGACAAGGAGACCTTTGTTCTTTCTTGGCAGCACTTCTGGCTGGTGGGCTGTCTTTCTGTAAGCCAGCATCTGAGACTTTCACCTCTTTAAAAGGGTGTTCTGTGCTACCAACCTGCTTGGCAAAGTGCTTTGATATCTATCTGTAAAAAAGTGCTGGGAGTGGAGGGGTGCGATGCCTTCGCAAATTTTGCGTGTTTCAGGCTGGTACACTGCTACACCTTGGAAAATGGGCAGGTTTTGATATCTGTGATTCATTCAGAGGGAATTCTTGTCTTCTTTAAATTCTTCCCTTATTTGTAGGTATTTGCTGTCTGGCTCACTAAGTGGGCCGTTCTCAGACTGTTTGCCACTCTCCAGTTGCTCACTCTCCATGGGATGCGTCACGCTCCACCAGCTCTCACACTCCCAAGGCAGATAAGGCAGACGGAAGCACAGCCCTTGGTTGGAGCAGAGCCCACGGTTCAGTGGGGTGTGGTAGGCAGCAGCTCCCTTCCCATGTGGGATGATGCCTGTCTATGACTCAGGTCAGATAACAGGGCAAGGAGGAGCTGTTGTCTGGGGCAAACATTCCAGCACTCCCAGTGCAGATGTGGTATTCGGCACGCAGATCTTGAGCAGAGCACTACACGTGGAAGGAAGGTAACTGCAGTGGGAGCATATGGAGATCGTTTTATCCATAGCTACTTCCTTGAAGAAATGATCAGCAAGCTGTGACAACACTTCCTCTTTTTTCCCACAGCTCCACTGTATGAACATTTCTATTCAGTGTCCTGAAAAATGCTGTGCTACTTTGAAACCTCCTGCAGGGTACAAAACCACAACCATGTCCTGCTCGTGCTTTCTAATGAATTGGTTTGGAATGTTATATTTGGGCACATTGGCCTCAGTTTGGTACTCAGACTGAAATCTTCCATGAAAGCACGCAGCTGCCACTTGAAGGGAGATAAGTGATTCAATAAATCATCTTACTGTTGTTTCTATCTTACTAATGAAACAGACTTGTATTATATGTCATCACAATTTCTTTGTTTTTTTTTAGTTTGAATTAGAGCTACGCCTTTTTCAGTATCTAAACTTCGGTATCTGCACCAGTATCAAGAGGGGAGCTGTAAGAAAGAAGGGGACGGACTGTTTAGCAGGGTCTGACAGGACAGGGAAATGGTTTCAAACTAAGAGAGGGGAGTCTTAGATTGGATATAAGGAATAAGTGTTTTACAGTGAGGATGGCAAGGCACTGGCACAGGTTGCCCGGAGAGGTGGTGAAAGCCCCAGTGGAAAAATTCAAGGTCAGGCTGGAGGGGGCTCTGAGCAACCTGATGTGCTGTAGGTGTCCCTGTTCATTGCAGGGGAATTGGACTAGATGGCCTTTAAGGCTTCCTTTCAACTCAAATGATTCTATGATCCTTCAATCTTGTTATCATCTCCTGGCATCAGAATTTTGTCCCAGTTCCTTATTACTGCAGCTATAGATAAAGACTTGAAAGTCCTGATCTCCCAGTGCTCAGGATCGTGGCAGAAAATATCACTCTAAGTGTTACACATGGATTCTCTTGTGGGAGAGGAGGAGAGAAATACTGGCATGGGATGTTTGCAGCTAATGCTGCTGCTGGTGTGATGCTGGCAGCCTGTGGCTCCCGGGGCCTATGCAAGCTGTACTTTCTGTTTAGCCTCTGAGCCTGAATTCCTCCATCCCTGTTCAGTCCCTCTGGACTCTCTTAAAAGCCAGCTGGGAGAAGACAAGGACGGGATTCTCAGGCTTTCTCCCCATCTGGCAATGCCAGGAGAGTCTGGATGGCTGTGTCTGAAGAACAGTGGTGTGAGAGAAATTTCCTCTTTTGTCTCTTCCTTCCCGTATAGTAAGTTTTGTTCCCTGAATACATAAATCAGACTTAGTAACAATTTTATTCTCAACACTCCCTGATATTCATCCTAAACTCCAAGCCCACGCATATCCCTCATAGCCCACAGCTTTTTCTGGAGCTGAGGAAAAAACAGAGCTGTTGTCATGGGTTATTTTTACGCAGGATGATAGTGATGGAACAAGGGGAAATGTTTTAAACTAAAAGAGGGGAGATTTAGATTTGACGTTAAGAGGAAATTCTTCACTCTGAGTGTGGTGAGGCGTTGGCACAGCTGACCAGAGAAGCTGTGGTTCCCCATCCCTGGAGGTGCTCAAAGCCAGGTTGGATGGGGCCCTGGGCAGCTGAGCTGGTGGGGGGCAGCCCTGTTCAGGGCAGGGGATTGGAACTGGATGGGCTTTAAGGTCCCTTCCAACCCAAACTATTCTATTCGTTTTTGTACAGCAACATCTAAAATACTTCATTTTTGTAGTACTGAATGACTGCACTGTATTTGTAAATGAGTTCAATTTTATCTTTCCTTCTTCAGTGAATTGACAAATGTGTTATATGAACAACACAAATAGAGTGCCTCTATTAATTTGTTGTTGTTTTGTTTGTTTGTTTTTTTGTTACTTCCAAGATCTTAAGCCTCACTACTAGCCTTGCTCTCTTCCCATAAGTCTCATCCAACAGAAAACACCGAGGCAATTCCTGCCTGTGATGGAGGACAGTGGCCTTTGATCTCAGCATAAGAGCAGGTGAGTGATCACAACACCTTCATCCATAACCCTGGGGACAAATACCACCATCATGCTGAGGTATACCACTGAGGCTTTGTAACAGAGTGGCAGTGGCCTGGTGGAAAGACAGCAAGTACCCAGATGCCTGTTTTCTGATGCACAGCAAAGAGTTGTCGTTAGCTGTGCTGGAGGTTGGCTGGATGTTTTTCCAGGTTCTGGTTATCTTCCCCTTCAATGCTGCTGAATTATTTGGACAGCCAGTCTGTTCCCTGTTTACTCCCATTGCTGCTTTTCTTCTCTAAAAGCAATACTAACTGTGCTTGTGTCTGAGTAATAGCAAGCAGCCCAGCGTACAGCCTCTTGCCTGTACAGCCTCTAGGTTTAAATTTCTGCCAGCAAAGACTGCTCCTGCTGTGCCCTTGGCATCCTCCAGCTGCTCATGAGCAACCCCAGTGAGCACAGCACAGCCTTTGACTGGGAGATGTCCAGTAGAGTGCAGTTTTCCTTTTTTCCCCCCTTTTCCCTTTTTGTTCCCATGCAATTAAGTATCTAAAATCAGAAGTTCACTAAATGGAGCACAGGATGCTGCTGAACGCAGAGCTGTTTCAAAAAAGAAACATTTATGACAGTGGTACAGGTGCTCTTCATCTCTGCTTTCTAAAAGACAAACCAAGGAAATTAAAATGTTTCAGGTTTTATTCAGGCCCTCATTTAGGAAGCAGCCTGCTGCCCTTGGGCGTGAGTAAGGTGATGGACTTCCAAAAGGATTCAAGCAGCTAATGCCCATTTTAGATGCTCTTGTCTAAATGCAGCCCCCCAAAGCCTCTCTTCTGTCCCAGGGGACCTGGCAGCCCAAGTCTTAGCCTCAGAAATGAGCCGTTCTTAGGAGTCCCACATTTCTGTTCCTTTTTGGTTTCTCATCTGTGGGGTACGATGCAAGCATCTGTGTCATGTCAGAGCTCAGGATGAAATGATGGCAGCTGCTTCTTATCGCCTTATTTTCCTAAGGGGAGATAAAAGCATTCACATCTTCCCTGTCCAGGGACATTTATTTAAATTTGTCCCTCTTCGTTCTCCAGAGAGTGCCCTGAATAGAGAACTGGAGGCTGCCCTAACACAGTGCATTCTATTACAATTTATTTGGCCTTAAGTAATTAAATGGTTAATGATGAAAGTACACACACTCATGAAACCAGAAAGCCTGACTCTGTGTGGTGGTTAAAAAGCCATTCTAGGCCCCAGCTCTTACTCCAGGATGTTAGGATTTATTTATACATTAATTTATGTAAGGCAGTGAATTGTTCAATTCAGAAGAGAACAAAGACAGCTTATTGAGCCTTCACAAAAGATTGCATTAATTCAGCTCCAACGTTTGGGGTTGTTATATGTACACAAACACAGGCCCTAAAGGCCGGGCTTCAGATATTTTTAACTGAGCAAAACATGTTGCAGGCAGCCCTGTCCTGCTGCAAAGCAAGCTGGCAATGGCAGCAGCCTGCGTAGTGGAAAAGAAATGCTCCTCTTGCCTGTTCATAGCAGGTGTGACATCAGATGGGTGCTTTTGTAAATGTGGGATCGTGCTGCTGTGTTACATCTGTGTCATTTAAAGAAAGATAGAAGGGTAATTAGTTGCTATTTCCTCTGCTTCCTGCTTTCTGAGATACTTGAGATGCTGATCTCAAGGCAGGACATTCTGATCTTGTACATGTAGCCCAGATTGGAATAGGAATTGCATTCTAAATATTCAAGGTAAAACATACTCCCAGAATTTCTTGCCGCCAAAAAGGACAATGCCAATTTCTTCATAAGTATCTTCTGCAAAGCTTTTTCAAACTGGTTTTGTCTAATATGCTTTTCCCGCTGTCTGTGTCATTTTGTGTGACCGCTATTACAGCATCTGGCGTGCAATGCATTACTGTGCCATTCTTGCACATCCGTAGCAAAGTAGTCATAGAATCACAGAATCATTCTGGTTGGAAAAAACCATGAAGACCATCTAGTCCAATCACCAACCCATTCCCACCATGCCCACTAACCCTGTCCCTCAGCTCTTAACATCTCAAGGGACAGTGACTCCACCACCCCCTAGCAGCCCATTCCAGTGCTTCACTACTCTCTGAGAAGAAGCTTTTCTTAGCATCCAACCTGAACCTCCCCTGGTGCAACTTGAGGCCATTCCCTCTCATCCTATCGCTGTTCCCTGCGAGAAAAGGCTGCCTCCCATCTCACCACAACTTCCCTTCAAGTAATTGTAGAGAGCAACAAGGTCTCCCCTGAGCCTCCTCCACACTGAACAATTCCAGTTCACTCAGCTGCTCCCCATAAGACTTGTGCTCCAGACCCCTCACAGCTTCATTGCCCTTTCGTTGGAAATGAAAGCAGTCACTGAAAGCAGCTGCTGAAAGCCATGTCTGCGAGGACAAGGGTGCTGAATCCTTGAAATCTTCCTTCATACTGCTCATAGCCCCTAGAAAGGTGGTTTTTGAACCTCTTGTTGCACTGGCTAAGAAACAGCAGTCAGACAGGTTGGTGTATCCTAAAGAGCCAGGACAGATGAAGGGTAAATCACGTAATTTCAGACCAGTGCAGCTTCACTCTGGAGACATTAACAATCCCTGTCAGGATCCTGGGTTGCCCAAACACACCCACTGAATTTCTTTCATGAGCCACTTACAGCCAAGATCTACTTCCTCTGTATTTAATGTTTTATGGAGCAGAAAATAAGCCCGCGTGCTTCATTTCTCCCTCCTTGTGAGATTCAGCAGCCGCTCTTTACAGAGCCAGCCTTTCCTTTTCCTCCCTCCAGCCCTCTGCCCAGAGCTGTGCCACCTTCCTCAGAGTGCACTCTCCCCAGGAAACAATTACAGATTGTATCTCGTGCATTTTTAAAAGCACACAAGCTCTTCCTCGGCTGTTTTTCACTAAAGCAGCAGGTGAGCTCATTCACTCCATCTGCTGCTCTTTGCACGGAGCTTACGCTTTTTAAACAAACCTTAATATCCCCTTCTAAATTAAAGAAGCGATGTTTTCAGCAGGAATACCCTCAGTATGATCATGATATACGTATGTGCCCATTTAGAAAAAAAACAGCAAACAGTAATGAACATCTGTCGCTTCCTTAGTAAACACTGTGATATTATGTCACAAACTCAATTACGCTCATCACCGGGCCATGGACAGCAGTTGCTGCTTTTTTAAGATACGTGTTGAAATAAAGCTTTGCTTCAGGTGCTGCAAACCCATTACTGGATGTTCATCAAAGAGAAAGGGCTCATTTCAGCCGGCTGTGCGTGCTCCCTTACGTCAGTGGGACATTGCCTGGGCACAGCAGCTCACTTCTTATTGACTCGTGTATTTATAGGCAGGGTCAATAAGCAGCACCAGTCGCTGCAAAGTCCGCCACCATTCTCTTTTCCTCAGTAAGCGCTTGCATCCCAATGTCTGCATTTGGCTAGGCCTGTTGGGAAATGATAATGACTTTCATCAGCTCTACTTACTGCCCTAAAATCGCTTCTGGGGGATGCAGGCCATAGGATTGGTTTTAGGAAAATAATCATTTATTTAGAAAGGAAGCGTTGAGTGAGCACAGAGGAGGAGGCAAGAGAGAGTTTTTTTTACATGAGGAGAAAAACCTGGTGACGCTTTGAAACCCGAGGTTTGAAGATTCTAGGGGAAGTCAGAAGGAAAGTAGGACTTGGAACTGTTGGAGAAGTGCTTAAATTCATTAAGCAAAGGCATTGGTCTGAGATGGAGAACAAGTGAGAAGAAAGGCAGAAAACCAGCAATAAGATTCAGCAAGTATTTAAGGAACAGGTTGGAGGAGGTTGTGTTTCTCCTCCCTCTCCCAAGAAATCCCTTGTATTCCTTAAAGAGAGGCAGAAGCTTAAAACAAAATAAAACAAAACACCATAAACCTCCAAAGTTAAGAGATGCTTGTTTTAAGTGGACTCTTTCTTTTGGATATAAATAATCTGAAGCAGTTCTTAATTACACACTAGGTGTGATAATGCAGCAAGCAGCATCTGCTGAGGAAAGCATCGCTCAGGAGGGGAAACAAGTTCTAAGTTTGTAGGCAATCTGTATTACAAATCTAAGAGGAGAATTGTGGCTTAGAGCTTGCAGGTGACTTTCAGCCTGGCACTTCAAGTATCTTTAAATGTGTGTGCAATTGGCTTGTTCTACATGCATAGAGTGTATGAGGCACATTCCTCTCATTCTGCTTTAGCACAGGTAAATTGATGTTGGGATGATATACCTGGAATAACAGCAGCTGATGTGGGAGGAAGGACAGCCCTCTGCATTCGCTGGGCACAGCAAAACTTTTGATGATCAGGCTGCCATTAGAGGAAGAAGGATTCGTCCACTTTCTCTCACAGGTTGGTTTTTGTTGGTTTGGTTGGTTTTTCAGTTGTTTCTTTTTCATTTTTGGCAAAAATGCAATAATAGCACATGAATCTTTTGCATTGAGTAAGGCACAGCCAGAGAGCTTTTAGAGGTTCCCATGGTCTGTTTACTATTCAGGAGGTGCCTGTGTTTGATGTGGGGGGCACATTGTGCCTGATTTGTTACACCTGTTTGGTTCTCAGCTGAAACCCACTGGTGCAAAACTGCAGCCCATTGTACTCAGCAGACTGGGCTCTTGGCAGGTTCATTATGAGAAATGATACGTATCCCTGCGGCTGAGCTAGACCTTGATGAACTTGTATCAAAGGACTTTGTGAACTCGTTTCGAGAGCGTGATGTGAATTATATGGGGCAGGTGTGAGTGCCAGAGGAAGGCGGAGGCTGGTGTCACACTTCACAGCTGAAAGCCACCCACCATCAAGGCCGCTTTTCATGTGCTTGGCTGGAGAGAACTCTGCTGTGAACAGAAAGCTCTCTGAGGCAATGGTAAGCCTGAAAGGACAGAGCAGGCTTTTGAGGGAGGAAATCAAAAAACATTGGAAAAATTTCTGCTTTGAGTCAAGGTAACTTTTAATGACTTGTAAGTCAAAACTAGACTGAAGAAAAAACATTAC